CTTCCTTTCACCTCTTAACTAAAGACTTCGTATCGTATCGCGGAACATAGAGAAAATTTTTTGACACAGAGAGAACTGCACCTCGGTGAGGCAAGATCTTCTTTGCTCCCGAGGTACTGCGTGAACTTGACGATGTTGACCTGTGACCAGGCGAAGGTCGTAAGACTGTACACATTCACAGGCCCTTCATGCAATCAACTAAACCCTTCGCACAAGCAACTAAACCTCCTTGTCCTAAGGAAGTTTTTTGACTCTTTAGAAATCAGGGGTGACAAGGTTCATCCGCAGACCAGTGAGCGGTGGCCTTATGGTCACCTTCGCGGAATGGGGACAGGCCCAGCAACTAGCCAACATAACCAAAATCAACGGACCCAGATACAAGTGCAAGTTCACCCAGAGGACAACTTGGTGTTGGGAGTCATCTCCCACACCGAGATAGAACACCTTAAAAAAGAAGAACTGGCTGAGCTGATCGGAGACCAGCTCACAATAGAATGGAAGCTGACCAGTAGAGTGGCACTGGTTAGCTGCCCCACGAAGCTACCAAGCACCGTTTTGCTGGGATGGGAGAACATCTCGGTAAGACCATACGAAAGAAGACCAACAAGATGTTACAAATGCCAGAGGTACGGTCATCTGGCGGGGAAGTGTCGTGCTCAGGAGGTCTGTTGCAAGTGCGGAACACCCGGGCACTCGGACACCAACTGCTCGGCGGCCGACAAGAAATGCGCAGCTTGTGGTGGCCTCCACTCCTCCTACGACCAGGAGTGTCCCAAGTGGAGGGAAGAGTGTAGGGTGGCTAAGCTGCGAACCAAGAAAAAACTGAGCTACAAGGAGGCTCTCCTCGCAGTGAAGACCGAAGAAAAGAATCAAGACCCCAACAAGACCGAAGAAAAAACCAAGAACACCACGAGACCCCAGAGGAACCCCACGAGACCAACCTCACCTTCTCCGACTTCATCCACACCTACGAACACCTAGGGCACGATGATGACGAAGAACAGGACCCAAACTCTACCGAATAGACAGTCCAAGAGAGTAAGAAGAGGAGGAAAATAAAAAAATCAACTTCAAACTAACAAGAATACCGAGAATACCATATTTCTTTGCCCAACCCGACACGCACCTGGCGCTCACCTGATTCAGGGTCCGGCCACCTCCTCGCCGCGTCCAGTCTGTTGCTGCTGCCTCCAACTTGAAACCCAAAATAACGCAAGCAGTGTTTAGCCACGGCACCTTTCCCCTCCTTCTAAAATTCACTTCAATCCTCCGTTTATCCTTCCCCTGAACCTCCTTTCCCCGTCACTAGCCTTTGTTCAGTTCAGTTCTGCGGAACTCATTCTATTCTACTCTCCTGAACCAGCAAGACCTCCAAACAAGCTCCTCACCAACCAGCTCCTTCAGCAAGCTCCTCACCCAACAGGACCTCTGAGCAAGCTTCTCACCACACCGCAGCTCCTTAGCACTGCACTGTACATACAATATACTGTATACAGCATACAGAAAACGCATTGCAAGTTTCTATTCTTACCTCCATCCTGTGTGAGATATCTTACATGTACGTACGTATGTGAGCCCATTCAAAGAGAAATAGACAAACAAAGATGATTTGACAACTGGCCACATACAGTACACTACAAGCTCAGGTCCTCAACTGGCTCAACCTTGTTAATATTGTTATTATTATCCACTGTGTATCTGTGTTTTTCTGGCTAAATAAACTGTTCAATTCAATTCAGATATTTATACACCTAAATTAGGTCCCCCTTTGGCCGTCTGTAGTAAAAGCTAAGTAATTTCAGGCACTCTTAATCTCTCAGGGTAGCTGAGGTGCTGAAGTGCAGGCAACAGTCTGGAGGCCCTCCTGTAACAATAATAATAATAAACAGGTTTTATTGTTCCCTTTTCTGTTCTTTTTTATTGTTTACCTTTCTTTTCCTTCTTATATTTCTTTTACTCTCTTTTCGTTATACAGCAGGCACTTCAAATTCGCAGGGGTTAGGTTCTCAAAATGGCCAGGAATCACCAAATCTGTGAATAACATTTGTTGACTGGGAAGGGGGGGTGGGGTACATTTTTACTTGCGTACAAAGAAATGCATTTTCCATTTACTGTAATGTTTGCCATTAGGACAATTATTTCTTTTACCTGTATCATTTATATGTGTGTGTGTCTAGACACACAAAACACATACAAATAAATAATAATGGGAAAATCCCCGCACAAATAATCAGAAACAAATTTATAAAAAATGTCAGTGTACCCTTAAGTCTACCGTGCTTTATTACTAACAAAGTACGGAGTAGACTTGAGGGTAGACTGTTACATTTTTAATAAGTTTGTTTCTGATTATTTGTGAGTGGATTTTCCCATTATTATTTATTTATATGTGTTTTGTGTGTGTCTACACACACACACACAAGTATATTTACAATACAGTACTGTACAAGTAAAAGAAATTCCTGTCTCTAGAATGAATGGCTACCTGTCCCAGCCACAAAAATGCCGGCAACTTTAAAACTACCCACAGACATTCTTGGGTACATCCAGAGTGTCATCCACGAATAATAGAGGACCGCGAAATAAAAATCCGCAAATTATCCGGGCGTACTGTACTCGTAAGACTAGTGATATGAGGAAGATTAGGGGTGGAGGCCGAGAGCGATTTATGTTCTGCGCTTAAGCTGAGGTGTGTTAAGGAATGTAAACCCTCACACCAAGGGGAAACTGGATAGCCATATACTGCCAGATTCTGAGGTCACTAATTCTAAGGGGATAACTTAACTCTATTCTTAATGTTAAGGTCGCTGCCACCAGACCCCCTCTGGACAGTATATAGCTCATTAGGTAGTGGGCAGAGTAAGCTAGGCATTGGGTTGGGTTTTTCATTGACCAAATCGATAGTGGGAAGAAGGGTGAAACAACAAGCATATCTTAACTAATTTATTCCTTGTAAAACACATTGCATCCCGTCAAAATACAAGAAGAGTTGGCCTTCCTCAGAAGAACAACTATGATTTTAGTCACACTGCCCATCAATATGTCTTACATTAATTGCGTATCATTAACATACTCATTCCTCATAACAATCATTGACCTCCTTACCTCGGTCATTCCTTCTCAGTATAACACCAAACACATCAGTATAACATCACCTGTTACATTACAAAAAGAGTTGGTCTTCATCAGAACAACTATTATTTTCATTACACTTCTCTTGATGAGCAGATGGGATACTTCCCAGGTAATCATACCAGTATTGGTTCCACGCCTGGTATTAAGACGTCACTCCACGTAGCGACAGCGAAACTTCTCAAGTATACAGTGATTTTCTCCTATTCTGGGTGGTGATATGTAGGGTATCCACAGTGGAGGTGCATGACCACGGTGAGCAGACGCACCCCACATGGTGCGTTCCCCACATGGTGCGTTCCTCACAGTGGTGGTAATGGCTGACGCTCGCGTGGTATCTGTTTGGTGAGAAGTCGAGGCATCACTAAGAATAATGCCTGAAGGGCTTGCATCACCACACACTAGTACACTGTGACTTCACTTTATAACAACAGGCAAGGTTTTAAGATGTAAAAACTGCTGGATAAGTCTTTTTATGGCTGAATAAAGCACAATGAAGGGCACTGACCTGTTTGTTGAGAAGTCGAGGCATCACTAAGGGTGGTGCCTCGCGTCTCTCACTGACTAGGCCTACATTTTCCAATCTTTAATTTTCACTTTGATTTCTTATGGTTCTCACATGAACACTTCCCTATTATTGTGACCTTGTGCCTTATATATACATATCTTACTCCTAAATGACATACTAAAGTAAAGATCTGGTTTGACCGATCTCGGGGAAATTAATTGGGCGATATCATTAACTCAAAACTGTAGTCCGGAGCGGAATGGACGTCGCATCGAACAAAACCTAGTATCGTTTTTTCATGGCGTAGGTATGTCCACTTCACTTCAATCTTATTAGGGATCCTTCCCTCACACGTTGCAATCGTCGAACACATTCATAAGATTCTCTGATCATTGCATTGTTCGTTTATGTTATCATCTGATACCTGCGGTAGCTATGTTCATTAATCGTTCACAGACGAAAATAGAACCACTAGTCCGTATCAATTAGACCTTCCAAATCATCCTATAGATACCTTGAGTTCTTCTTAATGTTGAGTACATACACTTAATAATATATAACCGTACCCGAGTACAATTCGTATAGAACTAACATCAACATTCAGTAGGAGAGTTATCCTTTATCAACGTTTCCCGTTTTCTGAGATTCTACAAGCGCGGTGGATTTGAATGTTATGTAACATAATATGAATTAAAGAGTTTTTAGGGATGACAATGATGTGCGCAGTACAGCCGGGTACTACAACAAGGGTACTACTTAACAGAGGAGAAATATGAAGAGGTTATGTTATTATTAATGGTAACTGTATTACTGTATACATAAAAAACACTAATAAAGGACAATACTCTACTCCATACCCAAAGGGAATTGAGAACTAATCACAACAGTTCTTCGTTTATTAATGACGTTACTCAAAATGAAGTTACACTTCAAAACAATAACCTATCTTCCCAACTAGCTAACCAGGGGTCACATGAATCACAATACATTTCGTAAACGGATAAAGCCTAAAAGGGACTCGCATTAAACCCCCCACATGAGATGACACCCACACTTAACTTTGTCCAAAACCAGACTGACTTTTTCAAACTGTGTCACCCACAAGGGTTGCCACCTCTTCATGACATCACATCTCAGAGGTTTTTTTATTGGTTCAGGCCTAAGACATTCACCCTCACAGGTCCCTACAATTGGCTTGCACCGTCAGGCAGGAAACACTCATGACATTGTTACACGCCTTTGGACATTTTCAACCAAATGACAGTCCCAGGCATATCTTGGGGACCAGACAGGGTGGCAGTACTGTACTCCAGATGGGGAAGCACTTTGCTCTTGAAGATCATTATGAGGGATGGACCATCTAAATACTTGAACAACCTTCTTATAAGACCTAATAATTTAGTTGCCCGATTCACCTTCTTCTCGCAATGGTCCGAGAACTTCAGCTCGTTGTCAACATACACTTAGTCAACTTAGTCAAGATGTTTGTGTTTTCCCTGGTTCTCCTCTTCGTTATATATATATATATATATATATATATATATATATATATATATATATATATATATATATATATATATATATATATATATATATATATACACACACACACACACACACACAGTTGTACCCCACTTAATGCGGTCAATAGAACCCAGAGGGTCCCGTGTTAAGTGAAATCCGCGTTAAGTGAACAACAGAACATATGGGATTAATTCCAATAGAAACCGGCCTGACCCCCAAACTCCACTTTTTGAAGACACATAACTATGTTGTAGTAAAAATAACATCTTAATTTTATGATGGTACATGCACACAATTAATACTTAAGAGAAATAGAGAAATACAGTCACCAAGTTAATGTCCATTCAAATAATGGACTCGACTCCCTCCCTCTCTTCTCACACAACACTGCCGGCTCTTCCCTCTCTGAGAAATTTGTGGGGGAAAACCACTAAATTTTAATAAATAATACCTCAAACTAAAGTTAGGATAATACAATTGACATTGCTGGATTCCTTGTAAGACCAGGAATATTTTGAATATAAATGTCATATATTTTGCACAAAAGATAACATACTTACTCAGATTAAAAATTTTATCTAAGATTTGTATGTCTAATGCAAAATATATGATGTTTATATTCAAAATGATCATCAAATTATAAGAATTCCAACAATGTAAATTATATTCTGACCGGGTAGTTTGTATGAATTTTATGAGCTAAAACAAATATCTTCAGTTAATAAAAAAAATAATAATCTTCAGGACACTATCTGTCAATCAAAGTACCCCACCTTGCCCTCCCCCCCTCTTCCAACCGCGCAGGCAGTCAGTCCCAACCCTCCCCCCCACCCCCCACCAATCGTCCCTTCAAGAGATGTGGGGTGAAAAATTTAGATTTTAACATTTTGTATTAAATAATACCTCAGATTAAAGTTAGGATAATATAATTGACATTGCTGGATTCCTTGTAAGACCAGGAATATTTTGAATATAAATGTCATATTTTGCACAAAAGAGAACATATCTACTCAGAGAAAACATTTTATCTAAAATTTGTATGTCTAATGCAAAATATATGTTTATATTCAAAATGATCATCAAATTATAAGAATTCCAGCAATGTAAATTATATTCTGACCGGGTAATTTGTATGAATTTTATGAGCTAAAACAAATATCTTCAGTTAATAAAAAAAAAAAATTCTTCTTCACGGGGTAACAGATGGTCGGTCCCTCCCTCCCCCCCACCCCCCGTCCCAAGGAGATGTGTGGGAAAACCAGAATACTAAACTTATTTGTAATAAATAATACCTCAAACTAAAGTTAGGATAATATAATTGACATTGCTGGATTCCTTGTAAGACCAGGAATATTTTGAATATAAATGTCATATATTTTGCACAAAAGATAACATAGTTACCCAGAGAAAAAAATTTATCTAAAATTTGTATGTCTAATGCAAAATATATGATGTTTATATTCAAAATGATCACCAAATTATAAGAATTCCAGCAATGTAAATTTATATTCCTGGTCGGGTAATTTGTATGAATTTTATGAGCTAAAACAGCAGGTGGAGGAAATGACACTCATCACAGATAGATGAAAAAAATCCGTTAAGTGAAAGTTCAGTTTCTTGGCGAGGCACCTCACAGATATGATAAACGCGCTATGAAAAAAAACTATCATATGGGTAACATTGTATATATATATATATATATATATATATATATATATATATATATATATATATATATATATATATATATATATATATATATATATATATATATATATATATATATATATATATATATATATATATATATATATATATATATATATATATATATATATATATATATATATATATATATACAGTGAACCCAAGATTTACGCGGTTCCACGTTTACGTGGTACCCTGCCGAAACCGGAATGTTCACTTTCCGTGGTGTGTGTACCCTTTTACGCGGAGAGCGGCTGGCGGTCCTCTCGCGCCGCGCCATTTTTGGATTCAAACCTCCCGCCATGTTGTGTACTGCGCAGTGTATGTCTTTGTTGCGTTATCGGTGACGTCATATGACTTATCGGACTGTGATTGGGCCAAGCATCCTTACCTCCCTCCCCCGCTAGCTGTGACTTGTTTAATGTACTATGACGTGCCCCGCCGCAGGAGCGTTCAAGCCCCTTGACTTACCCGCGTCAGTTACATCCCTACCGGCTACTCCGTGTATATCGGTATCCATTGTTCCATAAGAATGGCTTCCACCGGACCACCACCACCACCACAAAGAAACCTTGCATTACCTGGACCCAGCCGCCCTAAGCCAAAGAAGATACGACGTTCCTTAAGCTACGAAATTAAATACAAGATCATCCAAGAGTTGGAGAAAGGAACAAGACAGGTTGATCTCGCGCGCCAGCATGGTGTTAACGAGTCTACGATCAGGACAATTAAGAAGGATGCAGCCATGATAAAGGAGCAAATAAACATCGCAAAGTCTACAGGTGCTTCTATGATCAAGTATTGCCACAACCAGGTGCTATTCAAGACAGAGAAATTACTTGTGAGCTACTTGATTCGTCAGGCACGACGGAACATGGCGGTGGACACGCGGTCAGTTAAGGAGTACGCACGTGAACTGTATGCTGCAGCGTCACGTAAGATGGGAATTGCAGAGCCCAAACACTTTAATGCTTCCTCTGGGTGGTTGAAGGGGTTTAAGAAGAGGAACAAGATCACCAACATTAACATTGGTGGTGAAGAAGCTAGTGCTGACCGTGTTGCGGCTAGGGAATTTCCTCTGTTTTTACGTGAGATTATGGAGGAAGGACAGTACACCGACGACCAGGTGTTTAACATGGACGAATCTGGTCTTTTTTGGAAAAAGCTACCTTCCAAGACCTTCGTTGTCCAGTCTGCCAGCAAGTGTCGGGGCCGGAAGTTGCAGAAGGAGAACATCACCATCCTCTTTACCATCAATGCCTCCGGTTCCTGTAAACTTAAGTTATCGGTGATCCACACAACCCCAAGCCACACGCCTACAAGAACATGGACATGACCAAGCTAAATGTCCACTGGCTGACCGCACGTAAGGCGTGGATGTTCTCTACTCTGTCCCTCTCCTGGTTTGATGACTGTTTCGTTGCCGACGTGAAGAAATTCTGTGAACAACAGAATGTTCCATTCAAGATTTTGTTGCTTCTTGACAACGCACCAGGACACTCGCCCCTGCTGTTGGATCGTCACCCCAACGTAAAAGTGGTCTTCCTTCCTCCGAACACTGCGTCATTAATACAGCCCATGGACCAAGAATTAATCTGT